CAATAGCAATCCTAGCCATATGTATGCGTGATTAAAGACGCAGTCCAAGATTTGCATTTAAATACGAGTAGATGGTAATCAAGAGTTTACATTTATTTCTAACAATCAAACACTGTAGCCAACTGAATAGCGCACCTCCTATCCGCCCAGCAATGGTCTAAGTCTCAATTGATATACAAACATATCGTTGTAGCTTACACAAGTCAATGATCTTCCTGAATCCGGATATCGGACATAGCGAGGTCCACACCCGTTTTAGTCCTTATACCGGAGAACCCCTAGCTGCAGGATTTGCCAATATACGACGGACTAGGTATCACACAAAAATTCAGTATCCAACTTTCAAAAATAGAATCATAGCCGTGCGACTGTTGTATGCATACGATAGTGTCGAGAACTGCTTCATGCTTTGACGAAAGGTGGCCATGAATTAAGACTACAATTATCAGTAAAATATGTGCTGATAATTGGAATTTACTTCTCCGTCATTGAGTTGAATATACGAACTGATATACACCAAATACAGGTCTTTTGCTTTCGTAAACACTTGCGGTGCATTATACTGCTGCACCAACATTGTTTAAAGACTTTTTCTTGTTTTTGTTTTGTTTTTGGTTTTTTTTTTGGCATTTTTGTATATTGATCGATCGTGTGAATGACTATCGACATGCCGCATTTTATATACAAACCGACACGTTGCATCTAATATTATTACCACAATATACAAAGCTTATTCTGCCTGATAGCTGCCCGAACACGATGCCAGGGTAAACTAAGTCACAATGGGTTTTGCGAAATAGATGCTGGGATAACATCATCCGATCTAAACTAACGCTGCATGGTGGATAGACGGACACAAAGTGACGAGCAAAGAGGAGCAACATGATGAATATCGGAGAAGTACCTTATATAGAGCTATGAGAAATTCGAGCGAGTAGTAAGAGTTCAATGAATGTATAAATGATAAGATCAATACGGAGTGAGCAATTTAGGCGTTCCGCACACTATCCGGGAGAGTCCGCATCGGTTAGCTCTAGTGAACACAGCTGTTTTTACTGTAACAAAATTAGACTTGGCGAGTTCGTATGATGTGTCGAGGAAATTGCTTATTTGCAGAGAAGTCTCTTTCATGAACAATATCCACCGTGTTGTATATTTTCCACAATTTCATCTAGAAGAAACTGAGGTGTCGAACCTCTAATAAGCACAGAATAAAATCCTGTTTCAATCGGAAGCTTCGTGATCCCAGCTTCGCGATCTTGGGTATATTTTCCAACCGCTTTTGTTGCCCGACTTCAATGAATTGGCCCTTCCTACATCGCCACATCCATGACTTAAAGCAAACAGTATTTGCAGGTGTTAGTAGAATTCGGGTGACAATTCAAAGACAAATTTGAACACTTTCCAAACCAAGACAATGGCATTTTCTCTCGAGCGAATGCCACCCAGTAAAGTTGATTCCAATGGTTGTGAGACATACTCTCGCAGACAACGATACTCAAGTACAGCGTTGACAAAACAGCTAGTCAGCTAGTCAATTTTTGATACTATTAGATTGCTTTGATTGATTTCATTCCCCCTTCCAGGTGAGGTTAATATTGTCTTCAGCTCGGGAACGCTTTCGTTTCCGCGTATTTGATTATGTGGTAGTGTAGCGTGTTCGGGTTTTTTACATAGTATCCACATATCGGCCACACATGAATTAGCCTGTTTATCGTGCCAATGTCGGCTGGGATGGGTGTGAATTGACTTTGTATGCACTTAGAGTTTCGTGATAGTATTATGTTCCTCCCGGGTTTCAATTTATTCTCTGTTTTGGGTCTGTCATCGTCTACTGGAAAAAATTGTGCGTTTCCTCATATGGGGCATATGGAGCTGATGTAGGGGTGGATATGAGAACCCAACGATATTCAGATCATAGGCCATCGACTGATTTCTATACTGATTTTATTGCTGAGGATGAGATTTTGTCATGAAAAATGATCAAGTCTATGATCTGGTGACTACATAGGGGTACTATGTTTGAGAGGAGACTTTATTTAAAACTGCATAGGGGTTCTCTGTTCTTGCTTCTTTGAGTATTAAACTTATGATCTTTCCAGATACAGCCGTCGCTATACTACGTATAGGTTTGATACTGTGTTTCGTTCTTGTATTGGGTTAACCGCTTGTGTGAATGCTGTTCTGTTAAGCGAGTATAGGGGTTTCTCATTAGTATACATAACACTACTATTGTAGTCAATTAGCATAGCCACCGTGTATAACTCTGCACATGTTCTGCACACCAACATCATATAAATGTTTTAATTAAGCGTACCACAGGATTTACCACGTACAAATCTCAGTTTGTATAGAAAGGTCACCAGACCTAACCAGCATTAACTCTTTCCGTTACCTTATTTGTCCGAACTTTTGTGGTATGACTATCAGCCCAAAAAAAATCAAATTAGTTCCATTTCACGTTCAATCAGAGCGTAGGCAAGCGATCATCGGAAGATATTAAGAGACTTATCCCAAAGCTTGCGTGTTAGACGAGAGACTCGGGAATTACACAACGGGCAAACATATGAGCAGGAGACCGCAAGACTCGATTGGAGAATCGTACGTGCGTATGGTAAGGGAAATTTCCACTTAGCAGACTCATGAACGGGAATATTAACAGCTTATGTTTGATGTCAGACTCATATAGTTCAACTACGTAAGCTTTTCATCAACAACCGTACATTATTCGGAGCAGGTTCGCCGCCGTTTGTCCAATCAGCATTTTTCCACGAACTGGCACTTCAAATCGTGAATGACACGATCTTGGTGTGTCTCTAATAGCCAAATGCTACCGAAAGCAATAAAACACGCGAAAACGAGAGCGTCACCGAGAAGTGAACGCACATTATATAGTACATTTGATAAAGTTTTGATGGAGAGGAAAAGTTTTCAAACTATATCAAATGCAAGACAACGTGGCGTGACTTCATGCTCGGGGCCACGCATGTGGTCACGGCGGAGTGAGCATGAATCATTCGGACAAATAGTTGTGACACATTAGATTAACACGGTACTGCCATTGCCATCCCGGACAAGATTGTTTCGGAAACAGACGACATCCTCAAGAAGGCAATATATCGCAAGAAGCTGGGATATGCATACATATTGATGAATATATACAACAGGGGTTGGGTGATGATAGGATGGTTGGAAGACATCAAAACGTGTTTAAATTCCACTACACCATCACGTACTTAAAGGCTCTTGTCAACAAAAATGTTGCCTGGATTTAAGCTTTGTTCCGAGAGAGTGGGTGCCACCACTGAAATCATTAAGGCGGAATAGTCTCTATCTTAACGCCAGTCACACTCTGCGCAGTCTTGGTACCATCACAGTGTAAATGTTGGTACCATCACAGTGTAAATGATCTTCGGTACTGTGGTTATATAACCGTAAACTGGCGATATAGACGACTCACTGCTGAATTAGAGTGTCTCTTTCAATTGTTACTATTAGAACTTCCTACCGGAGGCATAATTATGTTGGCGAGGAGGAGGTTGGCTCTGTTGGCCCTGTCTCTGTTGCTACCTTTTGCTCCTAATCATCGTATCTTAACTACGAGGAAGTAGGAATTGCGGTCAATGGATGCTACAATATCCGACTTCGCAAGCTATTCAAAAGTTTACAAGTGGTCGAGGCTAAGAGAATGTGGGATAAATATTGAGGCATTTCACGCGCCGACACAGAGTCTTACACGCTACTGGCAAGGAGTACTAGAGTGCTTGCAATTGTTCCGAATTTTAGAAGCAAACTTCAAATCTGCCGTGCGACTGATAATAAGTTAACACGCTGCTGATATTCATGGTTAGATAGGCAACCTAATAAAGTATCGACTAAAAAAATGATCAAATATTCCCAACACGGCGAAAGGCGGAATTTTAACGAGCATATGGCGAGCTTCGAGCTCTGATTCATCTCTAACTAAAATCACTCTACATTCGTATCAGACCTCAGTTGAGTATCGTGAAACACAAAATGGAATTGTATGATAGAACCACAGCGAAATAAAAAGAGGGCCGAAGTAAACCATTTGTCAAATACTTTCGACAACACACCTTGCGAGTGGCAACATGACAAAATGCTTGCTGTTAATGGCGCAAACTAGCGCTATATGTCTCTCACACTGTGGCGGGATCTGGATTGACACATTGGGAGCATATGTATATTCTTGTCTTAAATTTAATACTGCATTTTGATTTAGGGTCTTTTTCTTATTGGGAATATACTGTTTCATTCAAATCTATTCTGATGCTTGCTACATCAACAAAGAATTTATAGATTCTGAAGTGGTGCATGATTTGTTGTTAGTCTGAGTATCGCAATTTGCCTATTTAAATAATCTGATTGGTAGAAATCTGTAATCAGATTTTGAGCTGGTACCGAAATACGTAGTGACATGAACCACATAAAATCGCGTTGTTCTTAGCTGTATAGAAAATTCGCCACTACGGCGACGCTGTAATTTGAAACGATAATGTATGTTATTGTACTACGTGTTTTTAGGAGTGGTACTTACCTTCGATTGAGAGTGTAGTATTCGGATATGTGCGTACTTTAAGTTGTGTCAAGCATCGCTGTCTGACATTGTGTGGCAATTGAATACGTCAATTCTGCCACTGTGATGAGTGATTCAAACTCGAAATTTCATGGTCACGAGAGTACGTTACTTCATTGAATACGAAGTAATCAATCGCTACAATCCTGACTCGTAATTTGTTCAAGAACCAGGCACTGTACTGTTTTCAAATTCGACTAAAAGTGACCTGGGAATATAAATAGTATACATTCATACGTAACCAAGGCTTCCCTTTTTATGTGCTCTGATACAAAATTTGTCATGTGCATCATCCAACAATAAGTATAAGGGTATATCAATGGTATCGCCGACAACGAAAATGACACGTATGATAAGCTCATGTAGATTCACAGCTGGATTGAATCTATCTTTCTATCTTCATCTCTTTTCCTACTCGTATTTATTAAGCCAGGAATTTTCCTAATCTATCGACGCAGACACAGTTTGTCGCCATTCAAAGCGTGCAAAGTTGCTGCGTACGGTAGTGAATGTCAACACAGGGTGGTGTCAGTACATGATTTTAACATTAATTCTGCACAACTGACAGGTCAGGTTGGACTCTAAGCTGCCGGTCTACACTCTAACTTTATGTTTGTAGTCGGATTGCACCCTACTCGAACTTCTTGGCCATCTCCTGTGAAATAACATATGGTTCCTCATCAGTAAAAGGGACAGAAACTAATATGAATGGGGAGCCTGGTTGCTTTAGGATACGTCATACGCATCGGTACCTTCGCCTTTTTCAGGCAAAGCTGAATATTTTAATGTCCAGAAAAAGGAGGCGACAAACAAGCTGCACGATCTACAGGTAATGTCATGTGTTCTCGAGGAAGCATGAAAATCGCACAAGTCGAAAATACCAGCACATATTTTCTTGCAATTACCCATTAGTGAAAGATATGAGCTAGTTTTGTACCTCATGCAGGGGCTGAAAGGACATTGAAAAAGGACGATAATGCATCTGGAAACACAGTTGTATATTTATATTTGATCTTTGATAACCATTCGCAATGCTTACCTTGAACATCGCCATCGTCGAAGATTCTTTTTCGTTATATGCATTTAATTTCACTTGCCTTTCCTCGTTTTTCTGCGATCGAGCTTTTGATATATATTTTTGCCGCTTCGCCTCACGCTGCGAGTTCCCAACTGATTGGGCGCTAAGGTATTTGCATATGAACAGAGACAATCAATAGGGAAAGTGATGGACATAAGCGAGGTAAGATATTTTCGTTAGGCATGTGGGTACGTTGGTCTAAGCGATCAACTGGAGGCTCAGCAAGACGCTGGCTACTCTCCCGGCACGGAATGTATATTATAACTGTTGTCAGTCACTCTGCGACAACTTGAGTTTTTTTTTGAACTGCGCACAATTGTGATCGGAATATGACTACGCAACGCCACAAAACAGGTTCACACCCATTTCGCCTGTAAACCAAATAATCTTACTTGTCATTATATGGGTCAGCTTCTGCCGGCTCAGGTGATAATTGTCGAGAGCGTTTCTCCAATATTCTCATTGCCTTTTGTTCCATTTTCTTTTCAAATGTGGATGTAGGTTTGTTTGCATTCTGTGAGATTTTGTCATCCTCCCTTCGGCGGTCATATCGATCTGCCCGGTAATCGCCGTGTGGAATGTCACTACTGTACTGCGTGGGATGCGGTATGTATTATGTATATAGTTAGTCACCAGCATGTACGCTTGAAATTATTAGCAAACGTTAGCACATCGATGAACAAGTTAAAATGGTACTTGTCCGTGATATGGTATAGATGTTTACACACCACACGAAATTTTACCAATTTATCCGAGTAAGCGACTTTCCGGTCACCGCACGCATGCTTGGAGGCAAGTAAGTGCACTACATAACAGAGAATGATCAAACATGATAAATAACTGCTCATTTTACTCTTCATTTCTCTTGGTTGCAATGCGGTGAGAAGGTCGTCGATCCAGACCCCTTTTCTGAATGCGGAAGGCTAGCTTTGCTCACACACAATGCATCAAATATAAACACTTTTCAAGATCAAGCAGATCTAAGCAAGGCTAGTAATTGTCATTCTCTTCATGCTGGGTAGCAACAGTTTGAAACATTGTTATTGCATACACAGGTCATTTCTCGTGCGACGAAAGTAGTTACAATAACAAGGCACATTTTGATGCGCACTTGGTGTGCAAATGCAACTGAAACCATACTGCTATATAGAGCAACACAAATGAAAATCTCAGTCACATGTGCACCTTATCAGTTCGGTGAGATGCACTTGGCTGTGGAGGTCCAGCTGGACCTAAGCTCCTCTTACGGTCTGCGAAGCCCATACCGACAACCCCGCTGCTTTCCCCATTCGAAGTACCAGACTTGAGTTTGCTTGTTGCATATGTAGCAGCGTCAATCTCGTCTCGCAGTTCCGTCATCGCCTGCTTGTCCACTTTCTTTGCGAAACCCCATTTATGGCTGAACGTGGAAGTGTGCAAGTAGCGAGCATATCTTTAGGCAGCAAGCCTAATTATAAAGTTCGGCGCCCAGCCAGCGCTCATGATATTATGAATCCACGAATCTTCGATTCAGCTTTTGTGCGCACTTTCAATCAATAATGAATGCAGCACTACACCAATCTAGGTTCTCGTAAGCAGACTCTGATGGTGGCAATTAGCATAGATACTTGGTGCTTATTTTAGAACAAAGCCACGAACAATTGGAACTCTAGAAATTAACGATAAGTCGTGCATGAACGTGAGGAAGACTATAGCAGACAGAAGATGATCAGTCATACTTGCGAGTGCCATCATGACGCTACGCCGTACATTCGAATATATTAATCAATCTCTACGATTTAAGGTGCCAGTTACCGGTTTAGGCGAGTGTTTTGATTGAAAAGACCTATCGCATGCTGGGCAAATATGAAGGCTATACATACACAAAAATGCAGTATGTACAATTTTTGGTACAGGAACAGCGTACCTTGTTCTGGAGGATGTCTGCACTTGGTTGTTGTGCACTCCATCATAGTACTTCTTATCTAGATAACCGTCATTGAAATCCTCCACAAAAGTCCTAAATTTCTTCTTCGCTTTCCGACTATCTAAATCGTCAAATTTTATGTCATATTCCTCTAAGAGCCACAACCTGAACTCATTGTTCTTAGTATTGATTCAGCAATATTATATGCAATGAGAATGTGATTTATAGCGGCAAGACAGTGTGGAACCTTTTCAAATGTATGCAAAAAAAGCATGCGTTATGTACATATTGGGCTGGCAGAGAAGAAAAAGTCGGTTGCTTTGCTTGGAAAGCAAAACGAGACGTGTGCAAACATAAAACTAGACACAAGGTGAACAAAGGAAGGTACACATAACACAGGATCCCACAAGATGTATAATGAAGCTACCTTAGCAAAGTAGTCCTCAGAGGAGATTTCACTTTCCTCTTTCACTGGTCTGCGTTTGCCACCCCCACTGTTCTTTTTCGTCTTTGACTTTTTCTCCTTCTTCGGTTTCTTGGCTCTTCGATCTATACGTGTAGGAAATCGCATGTTAATAAGATAGTCAACATGCTCACCAATTTCGGCAACATTGGTAAATTTCACAACTGATATATACGCTTGAAATCTCAAGTGCAAATGAGCCAATTCCTCAAATATACGATATTAAGATGTTGACCAAATCATATCAACGCGATTCCGCATATGTTGGGAGTACAGAGGCTGAGAATATGACAGCGATATCAGTTTCTCAATAGAATTATTCAGTGAGTGGATGGGTACCACAAGAACATATGTGTATGCCACGTTTTGTTGAAAGATCACAGATGATTATTGACAAGTTTGTAAATAACGAAAAAGAAGGACAAGTAAGAGTGAGCTCTGAGAGTACATATTGTGGAGAACTGTTTCGTTTTGATCGTTGTGTTAACTAAGCGGATGGTACACTTCGTTGATACACTTGAAGCATATTATATTATATGTAGATGTGCATTGTGGGTCTTGTCGGAGATGTAATCAAGCTCAAATGTAATCGAACCAATTAGGGCAGGAAAAATTAAGCAAGCCTATGATACTAAAAAATGTTCATGTGTTCGAGCATGTTCAATTAAAATTCATGTGCAAAGTTGCTATGACTTTACGTTGGAATACGCGATCATGCACACATGCATACATTTATAGGGTTCATTGCAGACACAACTCTGGGATTTATTGCACATACATATGAGGACAGTCTCCTACTCATTGATAATTTACTACAAGCGAAAAAGGGCACTAAATGGTACTTAAATATGAATATCTGCTGACTGTTCGCTATTCTTTGAACATTCATGCCTGGGCCGGCACAGTGAAACGCCAATAGCGAGCGATCAGGAGTATATACTAGAACATAATCATTATACAGAATAACTACGTAGCGGTTGTATAATCACGTGCTTACTCACTTACACACGCGCACGCACGTTTACAAGAACGTGATGGTATGGAATACAATTTGCAGCACAGTTGTGCATTAAATCTGCATTTATACATTGTCTAGTTCATGATAGTTTACGATTGTTGAAGAATTACACGAGCATTTAAAGGTTTAGAACTGCTATAGGGAGCAAAAACTTGAATAGAATACGCATACACATCTGCACACGTGACAGATGTGAGTGGCGAATATGGCACTGGCAATTTCAGTATTTGATTGAGTTATCCACAGCAAATAAATTGAAATGGTCTCTTAATCAAAACGAACAAGTGTTCTAGAGCAGATATATATGCTACGCAATTCTGCGCACTTGTGCTCTAAAAAATACCAACGGTAACCATAACAAAAGCGGCTACATATATTTGGATGTCCATTTGGGGACGAGCACTAGATTTTGGTCACAGCGCCCAAAGTTAAAGGTTAACATGTAACAACATTTCCCTCGAATGTTTGAAAATTGTTGTGTAAGAAGATTGCTCTCTACGTTTTATAAATATATCGTAATAATTTATTGTACAATGTGCATTACATGTGAGACACTGTGATGAAAAGGATACTTGTGGGGGTTCTCATAGTGAACTTTAAAGGCCAGTGTACTATTGCGATTTATGAGAATGGTTAGTGTGTCATACCCAAAAGTATACATAATGGGTTAATAAATGATGTATTGGCCAATAATGGGAAGATATACACTGTAGCTCGAAAGACACCTTAAAGAAGTACTATTGTGGCTGCAATAACGCAACTCGACGTCCAAACTGTGTGTCATAAGACTACTCGGTTGTGAAACACTATATACTGCAATCATAACGTTGTGCAGCAGCATTATACACAGCATGTGACGACGCGTATATAGCAACCAGGAACAAGTAGACACATTACACTGTGTTGATGGCATAAAAGCTAGATACTATACATGGTACTTGGATAACCGGATGTTCACATAAATCATATACTGTGTTTGCAAATTGAACAGCCAAAAACTATATGCTTCAATAAATATAGAAAACAAAAAGACCACTTCAAGCATACATAAATATTCGATATACCATCGCCCGACATGCTATGCACTTTCTTCTGACAGCAGTCCCGGTCACTTAGCCTAGAGCTGCTAAAAGGTATACTAGAGTTGCCAAACTGAGCAAAAATTGGTTACGGTGTGGATGTAGTGTCCTCAAAGCGTACTATCAGATAGCTGCTAAGGGGATTTACTATCGTGTGCGTAGACTGTAGTGTGCTCAAAACGTTCTGACAATCTTAAAATGTGCCACAGATAGCAGCTGAAGGTAAGAACTATCGTATGGCTAGCGAGCTGTTGCTACGTAGTGTTGGGTATAAGCAGCTACTACTACTCTAGCTGGAACATATATCTATCATGTATTTTTTAATGCATTCACTCTATATAATACTAAATAACCAGAGACTTTCGTGTGTAGTTACACAAGACGATATGGATAGACAAGAAGCCCGCGCTTTCTTGTCCATTTTTGGGCATCAACAAGTAAGTATATAAACTGTGACACATTCGGCCATGTGTTTTGTTGTAAATAATTTGAACTCTCTGCACCTACTGCGTGAAAACAAATCAACTCGCCATAGTGAGACATACCTGTGCACGCACATCCACCAGTTAAGCTATATCGAAGTGTGTGTTTACTTGCATTTTCAAATAAGAAGTTTTAGTCTCCAGCTGTGGTATATATAGTTAATTCAAGATGCCCGCAGCAGTAGATGAGGTGATCACCTCTACCCCAAAAAAGTCATCAAAGAAAGGCAGCAAGAAAAGCAGCGCGAAGACGGACAAGAAAGGCGAAAGCACTGGCACTACTCAGACAACAGACACTAGTACACAGAAAAAGGAGAAATTCTCTGGTAAAAGTAAGAAGAGTCACAAGACCGACAAATCAGACAAGAAGCAAGAAGAAGGTACAGCTACGGTACAGTCATCAGCACCCGCAACAACAGCTACTAGTACTAGCACCGAGTCTGACAAGAAAAAGTCTAGCAAGAAAGAGAAGAAATCCAGTAAAAAGGAGAAAAAGTCGGGCAAGAGTAGTAAAAGAGATGAAGTAGCTCCTGTCACTAGTGAAATTGAAACCGAGGTAAAAAAGAACGATGCTACTAGTAAGAAAGCAAAGGATTCTGGGAAGAAGACAAAAAAGGATACCACGAAGGAGATTAGGGGGAAGAAGATCGCAGAGTCCAATACAGTTTCAAATTCGAGTATAGTGGTGAATGATGGCAAGCCTAGCTTGGTAGACCAGCTGTCTCGTGCGACAGTTGCTAAGGAAGTGGGCCCTGCGGTGTTGAAGGCGGTGAATACCAGTGAGATGCTGGGTAGTACCGATGGCGATACTGATGCTGATGGCGATGATGCTTCAGATGATGAGATGCCCCAGGCAATCCTTAAGGAGGAGGCTGATGTTACTGCCAGTGATACCGAAAAGGACTGGGAAATGATAGAGGCCGCGTCTGGAGATGAGGGAACGGTACAAAAGTCTGAAGCGGACACCAAAGAAAAGAAAGTGGATACTCAGGAGAAGGAGGTGAAGAATGAAGAGAGCAAGAAAAGTGAGAGTTCAAGTGCGGCTGGGGACATTGTGAGTGCGATAGCAGGGGCTATTGGGGGCCTTTTTAGTGTGACGGCTGTTGCACCGCAAGCTGTGGTGGCCAAGACGTGGGTGCCTGTGGAGAAGGGCGAAGACGTAGTGGAAAAGGAAAACAAGAAGAAGATTAAGGACGAGAAACGCCGCAAGTACCAAGAAGCTCACGGAGATGACGATGTGAGCAAGGAGGAGAAGGAAGCGTTGTATGTGGTGAAGCCTAAGAACTACGCAGAGGTCGAGAGTGATCACGACAGTGACGACGAAGACGAGGTGGCGTACAAGAGCCATGTGAATGATGGAATCAGTGATTTGAGTGATTTGAGCGATGATTCGGATGCCGAGTCTGAGTCTGAGGATGAAGAGATCGTGGAGGTCAAAGGTATGTATAGAGTGTCATGTGCTAATGTGTGTATTATTGTGATTTTGTGTCTGCTGGTGTGTGTGGTCCGGTTTGCTTGGAGTATACGTCTTTAGATCGTGCATGTGTGATATTCGTTGCAAGTTTGCGTTTTTTAACTTGAACTTAGTATACTTAGGCTATACAGTATTTACAAGATCATAAAATGTAAACCACTAAGCGCGTATTGGCCTGCAATCATGCCTTCAAGTTTATAATGTTTTATCTGTTGATAGTGGTGATATCCGCTGTATCTAATACTTAATGCATACACCAATTGTTCACATCCAAATGAAAACAATCTAGTATTCATTATGATACATCGTTTTTATCACCATGCACTATATAAGCACGATTATACATATGAACATATATATATATATATATATATATATATATAATTAATTTAAT